GATAATCTCACTCCTATCCTTTGCACGATTGAGCTATGCCCCGGGGGGCAAAAAGAAAAGAAAAGAAAAAACGCAACAGAGAATTCACACTTAATATTGATTGAGTAAGGTCTATGTCTAATTCTTTTAGGACATGTTTGGCACCCAATATTGGACAAGTCAGTACAACGTATAAGATTTTATTTATTTTTTCTTAATATTTTACAGTATTTTCTTGTTCACCCAATACCGTGAGGTATTTACTCTAAGGATAATGCAATTGGACTTCTTTATGAATCAATTCGCTCCAACTATAACAACCAAATGCAAACTTATTTTCCCGCATAGGCTTCTTCCCTACAACCGTTATGTTGAAGCCTCTACTTCGAACCATGTAAATTATTGTGTCATACTTGCATTTATTTTTGTTATCTTCATTTGCTCTTATTTTAAATTATTTTGCGTCCCACTGATCTTGACAGAGTTAGTAGCTTTACACTTTCCACCACTATAATAGAATCCTCTTTGCAAATTTTTTAATCAAGTTGTTCGGCTAACTTTTGAGTACTAGAAATGATTGTACTAATACATGAGATTATCGCTTAAAGTCTAAAAGCACATTTTCTCAGTTCCATACTCGTTGGAAGGTGCATGACAAGTACATAATACATAATTAACAACTTTATTATTGGCATGAAGCAAAACACAATGGAGAAAAAAAAAACATTGAACTTCAACATTGAGAGTCCCCACCGCCCCGCCCCTAGAGCTTTGTGAGGGAGGTAAATTACGGGATGTGCCCCAGCAGGCAAGGGAACAAGAGCTGCCTGTACACTACGTCTACAGAGAGTTTAATTCCATGTCTCAGGAATCGAACCCCTACACTGCGACTCCCAACAAGGCGCGAGATAATCTCACTCCTATCATTTGCACGACTGGGCTATGCCCCGGGGGACAAAAAGAAAAGAAAAGAAAAAACACAATGGAGAATTCACACTTAATATTGATTGAGTAAGGTCTATGTCTAATTCTTTTAGGACATGTTTGCGCCTAATATTGGACAAGCCAGTACAATGAATAAGATTTTATTTATTTTTTCTTAATATTTTACAATATTTTCTTGTTCACCCAATACCGTGAGGTATTTACTCTGAGGATAATGCAATAGGACTTCTTCATGAATCAATTCGCTCCAACTATAACAACCAAATGCAAACTTATTTTCCCGCATAGGCCTCTTCCCTACAACTGTTATGTTGAAGCCTCTACTTTTCCGCTTTAGCGTTCAAGTGTAACGTGGGTGGAGATATTTCTATGGAGTAACCAGGATGTTTTTTTTAATTGTAACCAAGTATGAAGACTTACTACCAACATTTGTAACAGTTCGAGTGACAATCATGGATGCTTTAAGCTTAGGCACTTCGCAATTGCTAGTGATAGATAGTTGAGATTACTCGGTGAAGGAATAACATTGGGACACTTGAAAGATGGAACGAGCAAATTACAGCTATTAGGACAGAGGAAGAGATGATAGTCAGTATAAGAAGCATTATAAACAAGTCCTGAATCAACTGCCTTTGAAGGCTGAATGTGGCCCACGTTATTATGTAAAGGAATAAAATCTCATATCGAATAAAAATAAAAATTTAGACTAACCTATAAGAATTTGGGATAAAGTGTCTTTTTTTTTTCTTTTCCAAATAAAATTTTCGTTTAATGGCCCCTGAATATTTTGAGTATTCTTAAAGAAATTTTTTCTTGCTACTTAGGTAACAGGCATCTCTGCTGTAAGCCGACCCGTAGTCGAAGCGAAAATATTCCAAACGAACGACATTTATTGAAATCTAATTCGGGTGACAAGTAGATGATTTTCTTCTCCTTGACCATATAAACATTTCATATTTGATGGTTCTTTGTGTTGTGAATCGATGGTGATATACGCTGATGTGTTGTTTTGGATGAAACTTGTGTTAGTTTTTGCTAGGATTTTATTTCATTTCTCTTGAATATTTACGAAAATGCAGGAAGACATTTTCAAGGCCGGAAAGAAAGAACACCACTTTATGGAATAAATAAAAAAGATTCTGCTGGGAGGATGATTGAATTTTTATAATTGCATTCTTTGCATCATGACGCCTAAATAAAGATATACGTAATTGCTCGCTTCACAAAGCAAATTGAAACGGGTAGATATCTGGACTTCCAAATGAAAAAGAGATAGTTTATGGTTCACTGGATAAATTGATGGCTTGGGATACTGCGTGACTGTCGGCAAGCACAAATGGCAAGATAAACGCACGATGTGATCTGGATAGAAAGCGAGTGATCAAAGTATGAGTTTTGCTCGAATTCTCGTCCAGACATTTTTGTTGAAAGTGGACCGACAACAAGAAGCTGAAACATTAAAAATTGTAAATTTTTTTTTTCTCCAACTATGTGGGCTAGTAATGAAATCCACTGTGTTCATATCTGTAGAAGCATATCACTTTTTTATGACTTAGTCCAAAAGTTCCCATTAATAAATTTACAAGCCAATTTCCTTCTTACTACTGCTACTACTATTACTACGTGCCTTTGTAATACATTTTAATTATTTAATTAGTAATGATTGTAGAAATGAATTAAAATAAAAGCACTTAAAAAGTTTTAAAATATAACAAAAAACGATTATTTAAAGTTAAAACGAAAATGTCACAACAACCATATACACACGTCATTCTACAATTATTGAAGGAAAACATTACATAAAACAAGTGAATACAATGTTTTCATTAATTTAATGTAATTTATGCAGTTGTAAAATAAATGAATAAATAATTTTTCAGGTAAATAAATTGTGGAGAATTAAAAAAAAATGAAGAAAATAGTTAAATACTTTTTATTTGGTGTAAGATTTGATGTAATGGATTGGAGATGACTTTTGGGCAAAATAGTGCAAAACTCACCTTAAATTTTGATTTAGGGTTGGAGATGGCCTAAGAACTTCAACAATTAGAACAAAAATAGAGGGCCTCACGAAGAAAAATAAGCACTTTATACCTCGTATGCATTGACTGTGGTGTTTAGTATAGATAGTTGGTGATTGACCAGAATAAGATAAAATGACAATTGGTGATTGAAAATGAGATATTTAATATTTCTAAGAAAGTTGTGAGATAATTTAATGAAAACTTGAACATGTTTTTAAATTTAAAGGTTTGAGAATTCATTTATTCTTTTTTGAAAGTTAAAGACTGGCCAAGGAACTTCAACAATTAGAACAATAATAGCATACCCCCACAAAGAAAAATAAGTACTTTATATCTCGTATATGTTAAATTTGGTGTTCAGCATGAACAATTGGTGATTGAACAAAATAACATAAAATGACAATTGATAATTGAACAGAATAGCAAAAAATGAGAATTGGTAATTGGAAATCAAACATATTTCTAAGAGAGTTGTGGAATAACTTAACGAAAACTTGAATTTATATTGAAGGTCAAGAGTTCATTTATTCTTTTTTGAAAGTTAAATACACACTAAGAACTTCAAAAATTACTGAAAAACAATAATAGCGGACCCAGGAAGAAAAACTAGCACTGTATACTTCGTATACATTGATTTTGGTGTTCGGTATGGACAATTGATGATTGAATAGAACATGATAAAATGACAAATGGTCAAAGGTTGGAAGAAAAAGGCCATTTGAAAGCGGGCAGTGCTATATGAACAAGGCCACATAGCCCTATTTTTCCAAGGTTTGTGGCCTTGTTTGAGAAGATTTATCCTTGAAAGGCCCTGTTTGAGAAGATTTATTCTTTGAACGCAAATAGTTTGAAAAGGGGTCGAATCTTCAACTTTTTCCTTTATGTTTAGTAATTTTTGACTAGTTCAAATATAAAAACAACACAAACAAATTGGTTTGTTTGTCCGTTATACAAAAGTTAGCCCTTGTTTGGTAGAGATTAAAATCGAATTTTTAGAAATTTTGATAAAAGTTGATGAAATTGTAGTTGAAAAATTGTAGGTTCCATGAAATATGCGGTTAAAATTAATTGTTTATTTTGACCTAGATTTTTATTCCTACCAAACAAGGGCTTATTTGGCTATACATGGATAAATTAATAGAACTAGTGCATAATTAGTACGTAGGGTGCTGAATAGCCTTGTACAACCTGTAAAACACGATTTCATGTAGCATGTTCACTAATCATCTAAATTCCTATATTCTATTACAATGTTAAGTCCCTATTTGATTTAGCAAAAAATCATAGTGATAAAATTGATGGAATGCATGTTTGAAAATTGATTAAAATTGTGAGTATCATGAAATGTGTGATTAAAATTAAGTATTGATTTCAACTTAAATTTTTATCATCTTTTTTAATTAAATGTGAAAGCGTATGTGGCATATGATCACAAAAAGAATAAAAAAGTGCCTAAGTTAAATAAAGCTGGAGTAGTTTTGGGCAAAGAAAAAGAACATTAAGTGCATGTTTATACATAGAACTCGACAAATTTGTTCTTTAAATTCTGTCTGTTATTTTACATATAACCTTACTAAACAAGCCATAAAAATATGCATTTTTTTCGTATATTTATTTAGGGTATATACTGTATGACACAAAGATATATTTTCTGACAACTTTCAAGAGTACGGCAATTTGTTGAGAGAATAATTTTGCAATCCTGTGTACCCGTTAATATCGTCACAGAGATATAAGGTCAGGTGGATAGTGATCTCTGGAAGAGGTAAACGACGAGCCGATTTCTCGTGCATCAGAAGGATTAGAAAAGGTCTAAGTTTCACTTGAACTAGGTTTCAAGTCTTCAAGCTTCTCTTTGAGTTAAAAAAATTATTCAAATGTTGCACGTGGATGATTTGAATAATAATTTAGTGTTGCAAATGTCGTGATACTAAATATTCCCAAAAGACTTTAAACCGCTTTCATCTTGTTCAAGTTTGTATAAAAAGTTCAATTGTAAGTAAATAAAGTGGATTTTTTAATAAATAATTATTTTATTGGTCAACTAAAAATGGCGAGATGAAGAAAGAGAAAAAATCTCACATGGTCCCTGCAACTCTAGTGCTGATGTGGGAGTTATCATCCTCATCGAGCTTGGCTAAACCAAAATCGGAAATCCTTGGATTGAGGTCTTTATCAAGAAGAATGTTGTTGGGTTTTATGTCTCTATGAACAATTTTCAACGTGGATTCTTCATGCAGAAAAGCCAAGCCTCTTGCTATACCAATACAAATTCTTTGTCTGGTTTGCCAGTCCATTTTTAATTGCCTTTCCTCTGGTCCTGTTCCTGATAATACGATTCAATTAAGTGTGTGCATTGATTTTAAATACTAAATTTGTATATTAGACAAGATTTTAAAGAATGCACAACGCAGGCATAAATTTCAATTACCATATAAAGCGCGGGCAAGGCTATTGTTCTCCATGTATTCATAAACCAGCACTAAATGGCTTCCCTCAATGCAACGTCCATACAATTTTACGAGATTTGGATGCTGTAAACTAGAAATCATGCCTATTTCATTCACGAATTCACGGTTCCCTTGATTTGATTTGGAAGATAGCTGCTTGACAGCAATTACACTACCTTCCAATAGTATACCCTGCAAATGAAGCATTATAGTACCACAGACATGCACGCATATAGAAATGTTAGAAAAATATAAGCGCGAAGGTATAGACAAAGTATAAGAGAGAAAAGTTGGAAGTTAATATTTCTACATACCTTGTAGATAGATCCAAAACCACCTTCCCCAATTTTATTTACAGCATCAAAGTTGTTTGTGGTGGCTTTGATTTGTCTAAAAGTAAAAAAGCCAGTCCGCAAATCTAATCTCCTTAGTTCTAGAAAAGAACAATTTTTAGATGTTGAATTCATTGTAAGCTATATAGTTAAGGATTTCGTCATCTCTCTTTTTCTCTATGCAGTACACTAGAATATATTTTAGTTTTTCTTTGATCTATTGCTTGGCCATGGTCACATCACCACGAAAAAGTTATTTATCCTAAATTTGAGAGTAACTTCCATAGTTGTCATCTGATGCATTACTACTGTAAGACTATCCATAACATTATATATGACAATTCAATATTTACATTCTTGCTTAAATACTAAGAAAGGTCTATTTGTTCACCTTCTTCCCTTGAGATCCTGCCTCCTATATAGCCTTTCCACCATGAAAAAATAAGAATAATGAGAATGAAAAAAATTACCAAAGCTGTTACTCCTGTTGGGATGAAAATATTCTTTCCTTCGGATGGAGACTTAAAATCTACATAATGAAAGAAATAAAGAATAATTTGTTACATGGTGTTCAGTTTGCTAGCTAGCACCAGAAAAAAATTACATAAAGGAATTGGTATAGGGAATTTGAGAACAATAACAAGTGAAAAAGAACGATAATAGATTAATTAATCGAGTACTAATTTAAGTGCCATCAACACCTGAGTCATGTTGCTTAAGTTGCAAAAGATTATGTGGTTGTGCAGATAAGATGTATATTTTCTCAAATAAATAGATAAAAAAAAAATCTTAAGAGAGATAGAGGTGTTTTGAGGATAAATTTAATGGTATTACACAAACAATCTTACCAGATTCCACAGAAATGGCAGATATCAAAGGGCCATATACTCTTCCGAAAGGGATGGCTATTGATCCTTTCCCAAAATAGTAAAATCAGATATCCAGAGTTTTATTCTTAACTATCGCATTAAATTGTTTTTTCACAGCTTTATCAACTCCTTTCGCATCCTTCTTAATATCAAAATCTTTCAATTTCAGTTCATCCTATATTACGTTGAATAAGTTTGAGTCAAATTGCAACAGTAAATGGCACTAAAAAGAACTGTTTATTTATTACTTGACCTGGATATAAACGTCAAACATCCGTCTCCCAAGACTCTGGAAAGAGTTATTATCTCTAAAAATTATCTCTGCAAAGTGAAGTGTCACAGTGTAGTTTCCATTTACTAAGCAACGCCCGTAATAAGTGAGAGATAAAGGAGATAGACGAGCATCTGCATAGAGTTCAGAGTCCTTCATTTTTAGCACAGATACATTGTAGGCTTTATAGTGATTCTTGAACCAAGGAAAATGTCCTGTACTACTAGTTCCCCAGTTCTCTTTTGAGTGAACAAATTGTACTGAACCTCCTGTTTGTACATCATCTTCAATTTTTTTGTTGCCAATAGTAACTTCCCCTCCACCACAGTTTACATAAAAGGAATACCAATCTATGAAAAACCAAAGCATATTAAGTTTTCTAGAACATCTCCAAAAGACTCTTCAAACATAAAATTTCTCTATTTTAAAGAATCAAGCCTTAAAGTTATGCTTCAAGAGACTATTTAATTTAACATTTTAATTTAGAGAGAGTTTGACTCTCCAAATTTAGAGAGTCAAACACGCTCTTTATAATTTAATGCATTTAAAATATTTCAATTTTCAGTGAAAAATAATATAATAATTTAGAGGAAAGCTAGTGAAAATAAAAGACAAGAAAAAAACAATAAATATTTTTCTGAAGTAGTAAAATTAATTATTATATATAAAGAACTTGTTGAAGTACTTAAAAATTTTTACTCCCTAAATTTAAATGTTCTTTGTCGCGGAAGCTCGTTCGAAGATCTTAGAAATGGTGAATTTCGGGCTCAGTTTTTAGTTATATTTCTCTACCAAACAACCAATTTACACTACTCCAACCCACAATCAGTATATTTATCTCGATTGCTCCTCAATCTCACCCACAAAGAATAAGGTAACAGTGATGATTTATAGGCCACAAAGGCATGAGAAAAACAACGAAAAAGGCAAGAGAATGGACCAAAATACACAAGATGAAGGCACTGATTTTCTCTCTATATGGCAACTGGCCTTTCCAGGAAGAAGCAACCACATTTTTCCTCATTTTCATAAACAAATCATACACTAACGGCAAGGGGAAAAAGCAACATATATATAGGGTTAGGTTAGGTTTTAGTTGGACCAATAAGGGTTAAATGGGCCAAAATTCAAAGCTATCTAAGAGGCAATATATATGTGCTGTGAGTAGCTCTAATTTCTTAAGCTACTTCCTACAGTCCATATTGTTTTTAGGTCGCGCTTTTAGACTTAATTGTTGGTAACAATTTCACTCATTGACCAATACCTATGAAACTCAATCTAACATTTAATAATCATAGCCAAAGATTTATTGGGTATCAAAACTCAACAAATCTTCACCTTTATACCCAATCAACTTACAAGTAATCAAAATACAAAGTTAGTACTTACACAATCAAAGTAGCTAATAAAATTAGGATCACAGACTTTACCTCGTGTTTTGGACCCGAAACACATACCATACCAACTTTACGTACTCACCAGGGCTATAGTCTTAAAGAAATACCCACAGATCTTTTCAAACCCATGTTCGCACAGAACAAAAGATTAACACCAAGCTAATCAACAAACGGTTAACATATATACAACAAATGCATAAATGACCACATGAAAAGATCTTACCACACTTATCCTATCCCATTTTTGTTCCCCTCTCATTGCCCACCATGTTTACTAAACTGATCACTCAATTCATGTCTAACTCATAAATCAAAATAGGTCCTAAATTCATAGGATAATCCTATATCACCATATTTCCAACCTACGTGGATAAATGATTCTCCACCTAACATAAGTGATAGAAGTATATCTCTTACACTCCACATGATCATGATTTTCTCAGTTAAAGAGTTCCAACATTTAATCACATTTTCACTCGTGATCAAAATGTCACATCTCACATTCCTGGTACAAACCACCAATGTACCCCTAGTCATCTATACTCCACCTCACCAATAGACACACAACACAATTATTGCTATTACATCCTAATCCACTATGTATGCAAACAATTATACCAAATAATCACATTGCTCTCAAATTCATACAATGACACATAGAAATATCATATAACTATGCAACATAATTAAGCAATCATACATGCAGAAAGGAGTACACACATTTGCACATGCAATAACTAGGTTTACTCTCAATAAACCTCACTATGATTATCACTCGACCTTATAGCCATATTCACCTCACCTCTCATCTTACCCTTCTGCTTATCCCCTTTTTTGGGACAACCTCTCACAAAGTGTTTAGACTTACCAAAGCTGTAACATTAGTTACCACTAGACTTATCCCAACCTTTAACCTTTTTTTTTTTTTTTTAACCACCGTCAACACTCGAGTCACCACTTAAATCACAACTATCTTGATTTCTTCCCAAATTTATATTTTTAAACTTCATTCTACTCTTCATTATATATAACTTACAACTCCTCTTATCCTCCTTTTCAGCCTTAATCTCCATTTTCTTATTGTTAAGAGAATCTATGGCAATATCGGGTGTTAAGATGTCACTACTATATTTAATTGCATTCTTAACCTCTCTATATGAATCATGTATTGAATTAAGCAAAATAATGGCATGATACGTTTCATACACCTCCTATCACAGTTAAAATTATATTGAACCAGCTTGTTAAAAACATCTAAAAATATATTGAACGAGCTTGGCAAGGATTCATTTTAAAATTGAAAAATCTATTGAGCAGACGCAATTTATTAGGAGTAGACTTAAGCAAATATAAACCCTCCAACTTTTTTCAAAGTTTTTTTAGTAGAATCAAGTTTTTCATTTTTTCTCAAAATAGTGTCTGATAGGTGTAAAATAATTAAAGTGTAAGTAAATTTATCCTATTCTTCTTTTCGTGCTTCCGTCAAATTTGCTGGAAATTTGCTATTTATGACTTTTGAAACTTTTTGTTGAACTAAAATCTTTTCATTTTTTGTTACCTAATAGAAAATTCCCCTTTCTTATTGAGAATTTCAACTTCAAAATGTGATGACATTTTGAAAAACAGAACAACTAAAGTGCACAAATATGTCACACAAAGTAATCATAAGGACGCAATATATATCATTATAGATTCCCAGGGTTTCGTGAGACTTGAGATCTCAGTATCAAGGAAATGTTCAAATGGGTTAATACTAGGTGTTCTAACAGAATAACCAATGTAACACGAAGGTATATCAACAAAAATTTAGTTTTTCACACAATCCAGTCTCACACAGTGACTAAATGGCAACTAGAGCACAAGGATAATTATCAACTTACTGTCCAATTCAACACTTCAAATATGGTAAGTAATGCCTAAATTTCTAGCACAATCAATGGTTACCTACATGGTAACGCCAATCCTGAAGTAGAAATTTAAATTGGGATAAGCCAATAAATCAGAGTGAACCAATCTCAGTCCATAAATAATGAGAGATGCGAACTTACACTTTTGGGCCACCACTACTTGCCATAAAGTTTCCATCAATCGCAGAAATCAATCAACCATGATCGAATCCCGAACACACGAAGGATAAATTTATCCAAATTCCACTGTATAAATTTAAACAGAAAACTAATAACATCAAAATGTCAGGATCAAATTACCTGAAAAGACCTCTATCTAAAACCTTCGCATGCGCCCTCAAGCGCCACCAACAGCCTTTGTGCATGGGATTCACGCACCGGCCACTCTGGTGCGCCTTCACGTGCACGTCACACTAGTAGTCTCCATTTCACCAAAATCATTTTTGTTTGATCAGAAATCATGAAAACATCCTCGATTTTTGTGTAATTTTCTAGACAATTTTGCAATCTATTTTTTGCTTCGTTGAAAGCCAATTTTCTGTCAATTTTTCGAGCCAAATCTATTACTTGAAGCTTTGATACCAATTGTCATGGAAGCTTTCTCCAAGATCTTCGAAACGGTGATTTTCAAGCTCAGTTTTACGTTACTTTTCACTACAGATCAATCCACACAGTCCAACCTACAACCAATATATTCACTCGGTTCCTCCTCAATCTCACTCACAAATGACAAGATAATGGTGATGATTTGTAGGCCACTAAGGCACGGGAAAATTGACGGAAAAAAGCAAGAGAATGGACCAAAATACACAAGATGAAGGCACCGATTTTCTCTCTCTATGGGAGCCGATTTTACATGAAGAAGCAGCCATGTTTTTCCTCTTTTTCATACACAAATCATATACTAATGGCTACAGTAAAAAGTAACATATATATAGGGTTATGTTAGGCTTTAGTTGTCCCAATAAAGGGTTAAATAGGTCAAGATTCAAAGCTATTCAGTAGATAATATATATAGATCGTGAGTAGCATTAATTTTTAAGCTACTTCCAATTGTCCATGTTGTTTTCGGATCAAGCCTTTGGACTTGATTGTTGATAATAATTCACTCATTGACCAATGCCTATGAAATTGAATCCGATGTTTACATCGCAGCCCTAAATTCATTGAGTATCAAAATCCAACACTCTAAATTGTAGAATATGCTCTTGAGTGTAAAACAGATAAAAGTGCTATAACTATATACGATATATTACATTACTACTGTATTCTTTTTGTTTTTAGTTTTCAACTTGAGCACAAAAAATGATATTGCAAACTTGTTGGTATACTACGCTTGGATGATGAGATTCGTGTAAACAATCAAGGCTGAGCTTGTAAAATGAAGTACTTACCCTTTCAACAAGGAGTGAGGCACTTCCCCTGTTCTCTATATGAAGTCATATGGCAAGGGAGCAGAATGAATAATATGATATACAAAGTTATGTTTAGATTACAATAATCTTATCTACATAAGAAGCAACTTAAAAACTGTTTTCTCCACTAAAGCTTCTGAACAAGTTTCTGACGCAGAAAGAAAGGGAAAAAACAAATTGAAGTTATGAAAAACATACAGAAAGACAGCATACGAAGAAAAATTGGGGCTTACATATTGTTCCTGCAAATTGATGGATCAGAGTCTCATTGAAGTTATTGTAAGAATGATTTACGTGGCTGCAAATGCATTTAATATCTCTTTAAGAACTTATTTCAATCCTCTAAAATTAATGAAAGAAAAGAATCCATAAATTACATAGTGATAGATGTCCACCAGTATGTAGTAACTAAAGTAAAAATGAGATTGTTTTCGAACTTATGAGACTAGTCCTGTATCTTAAGGTGAGCTTGAACAACAATTGTATGTCTGGATATAAAGATGTCAATAGAGGTCCTGAGAGAAATGGGAAAATTCCATTTCTGTATAAATTTGAGGACATCGTCATTTATGATGGACAATGCTACTATTAAATCACATAGATAATCTTATAGACGCTAAATAATAAGAAATATAGAAGTGAACTTACAGCTCTTCACTTATGCTTTGGATCCACTTTGGAATTTGCCCACTGATAAGAGTGTAAAATACCATATTTTCCCCTCTTAACTATTGCATTCATGTGATTATATTCTGCCAAAATGCATTCATTACTCTTATATTTTGGTTTAGGTTGCATTTTGGTGAAAAAGATGAAATTCGGAAGATACAAGTGAAAAATGAACAGAGTAGAAGAGAACGAAAGTTCGAGGACTAAAGTGCAAATGATCCAAACTTGTGTCCAAGATTATGATGAAGATTCGAAAGTTTTAGAGGTCAAGTGGATGAGAAAAGAAGTCAAAGGGATGAAATAACATCAAAGTTTGATCAATACATCAATTTCCAATCGAAAACTAACACACCAGTTTTTAGTCTCATGTTGGGACCCATTTTTGACATGGAAGATGATAGAATTGGGAGATGACTTCTGAATAAAAATTGTGGCCCTTTGAGTTAGCTATCCAATGCAACTTGAATCACCTCAATTGGATATCGGAAAAGAAAGGTATGATTAAAACACTGAAAGCTGTCTGGCGGAACCTTGCGGCCGCATGCCTTTCTACTATGCGGTCGCATACACCTATACCGAGAATTCAAGAGGCTGAAAGTGCATAACCATGCGACCGTAATGACAATAACCATGCGGTCGCATAGTGTTTTTTTGGCGGCCGAATCTCAGTTTCCTTATACGATTGAATCTCTTATGGTAACCTAATTTTCACGGGATATAAATGCCCAAAACCATCCAGAACGAAGGGAGACGCCACCAGACCTATTTCTTTCATCTTGGTGCTCAAGAAACTCCATGGAAAACTAAGGAACTCGGTGAAGCAACGAAGGAACTCATTGGATTTGGAGATTTCACGTCATAATTTCATGTGATTCGAACTCTCTTTGCTTAATAATTTCTAGATTTGAATCTTCTCGTTATGAATTAGTATTGAAATTTGTTTAACTTTTAATAAATTTCTCATGGATTCAGTCATGTTTTTTCCATTGTTAAATTAAACTATTTGTTGAGTTTCAATTTAAATTACTTATTGTTGAGATTATTTTAACTTTTATCAAATCCTTCATAGATCTAGCCATGCTCTTTCTATCGAATGATTGAAATAATTGTTGAATTTTAATCTTAATATCACTTTATTGGCGGATTGATTACTGCCTTATGCCTGACGTATATGGTCGATTTTTGATCTTGTTCCAATAAAAATGTGCGAATGTGTTATAGAAAATCTAGATTCTAGAAATATAATTGGAATAAAATTGGACTTCACTGTTAAATCTTCCAATTAGAGAGTTTGGAAGAAAACCTCTAATTGAGTAAAAATACATGAATTATTGATGCTGATTGATCCAATCCAATGGGGGAACTCCGACGCTTCACTAATTCGCATATTGATAATTAATTTTTATTCCAAGTGACAAATCATTCCCACATTTAATTACGAAAACCCTAGTTTGTTTGATCTTTTGAGAAATTTTCCATCTCCCTGTGGATACGACACCCCAAAGTTGTACTACAATAACCGCATTATTCTTTGGGCGTAATCACCCACTGAGAAAGTTACTAGTCAGAAACCTAATCACAAACATAAAATCCAAATGAAATCAAAATTATACATTTAGATGACAGGACAGAACATCATGAAAGAACAAAAGTATGGCCTAGTAGAGTATATGAATGACACTTGAACACTAAGGATTGAATATGAACTGGACATCCTTATGTTTGGTTACAGTGGTCCTTATTACTTGTTTTGGAAATAAAAAGTAGGATTTAGGATATGAACATGAACAAAGTCTTCCATTATCACGCTTCAATGACAGGTGAATAACAGAGCAAAGCTTTTGTACAAATCAATTGAATAATATCATACTAATTCACTTACAAGTTCGTTAGACTTGGTAGGCGATCAAAATCTGGAACCTCTCCTTTTAAGTTGTTAAAGCTCAGATCTCTGTGAATACACCACACGAACATCTTACGACCAAACGCATATTTTCTCAGCTTAACAATATGGCAGTGCATAGTTATCTTAACATAGAAAAGTAAACCTAAATTTTGTATGATATCCAGAAAGAAAGAAAAAAGATCGGCACAAAAGCAATGGAAGCATAGGAAAACAAACAAAAATTACAGGATTTTCTAATGTAGATTGGGAAAAACTAATGTGGCAAGCTCTTGGATGGTACGAAACTTCACAATCTGAAAATGCACATGGTACGTCCTCCATATTTTTCCATAGCCAGGTCTCCACCACAAGTACATATTTTATTACAAGCAGTAGGTTTTTGTGGCATGGAGTACAACAAATTCGTGTTTTTGGTCACTATCTTCAACAAGTAACAATATAAGTGTCAAATATACTCAATGATAATCAATAATACTCGATGTCCTTCAATGTGAGATGTTCTCTTAGTGTATAAAATTAAAATCACAAATAAATATGGTAGCTATCAATTATAATTATTCATTAATGGTAACTTATTAAATATGGTAGTCCTTATTTTTCACTAACATCCCCTCTCAAATCTCAAATTGATGCTTATTAATTTGCAATCATAAGTTGACGGTGGCGACATTGCTCGTGCGCACGAAAAAGATATCCAAATCAAAGTAATCATCTACGGAACATTGTGACAACGAGAGAGCAAGAACAATAAATAGTACAGAAACATCCAAAAACTACCTCAAGAATATTCCAAAACCACTCTAGAGAGTTCACAGCCCAAGAAGAATTTCAAAAAGAAATTCTTGAAGTGTACCGATCACACAATGAGATCGGGAGAACTCAGTCAAACACATAATTAGTATTCCATCAAAATCTCTAATGGCCAATATACCAGCCAAAAATCTAGTAATATATCACTGACCAGGACGCTATAGTTGGAAGAAATATCAGAAAACAGCCTGCACACAAAAAAAAAAAAAAACAAAGATGATCTGAGAACCCAAAATTCTTGCTCGTCACCCAAGCAACCAAAGCTCCACCCATGTCTCTCTCATCCCAATGACCAATCAATATGATTGCCAAGCTCCTTATTGGAAGCAAATCAAGCCACATCCATGTCGCCCACAAAGAGAAACCACAATTTATAGTCCAATTGCTCACAACCCGTAACTACCTAGCCCATTTTTAATCAAGTTATACACTCATGTCCAAAAGCCAAGCCTACTTTCAACAAATCCCTAACCTATTCACAAAGCCTAGAATAAAATACTACTTATTCAAAATTGTTGAGGCCCATAATCATCCATTAAAGTCTTCAAAACCTAACCCGTTCATCAAATAATAACGACGCCCAAACCAATAAAGCAGCAGGCCCACCTACAAATCCATGACTCAGTGTCTTTTTTTATCCCATTCGCTTAAGAATCTTCAGATCTCTGCCAAAAATCCATTAATTTTACTCTCACTAGTAACACTTCCTCTCTTTAATCTGACGGTCTTGGATTGAACTGATACACATTTTATGCGCAAATTAACATAGTCGCATTCACAGAAGTGTGATTGTGTGTGAGATGGCGTGTAAAGGATTGTAGAAAAGTAATGGGGTCTAGGATAAAAATCAAATTCCAATAAGAATTCTCTCTACTTCTCATGATAAAGATATGTTGGCTGGTACTCCACCTCAGAATTCCCAATCATTGACGAGCCTCTACACCTCAGAATTGCTAGCATTCAACGAGCAATATGGTGATCCATGGTCGACTAATAGCTCTCTCTCATCTTCAGCAATTTCTCTGCGTTGAGAGATCCGGCCCCTGGGTCGTCTAGTGGACTACTGGACTCGAAAATGGTGACTGAAATTTCCATTTTTTCTAGAATCGGTTGTTCCTGAAATCCCACTGCCTATGACAGATTGGAGGCGATGCTTTACATGTCAGCAACGGCAGCAAGTATGCTTGGTTCTGTTCAGTTCATAGCAATTTACAAGATCGAACACAAGGAATATGGATAGGGTCCACAGCAGCGGGGGCAAACTTGTCCTAACCTTTCTCTTCCAATTAACTTTTCTCTCTGTATCGCTTGAAACTCTTCGCAGATTAATTGCTTCACTGCTTTGGTGAAGTACTTAACTTAGTTTGGTGGTGAGCACACAATTCATCTTTTACCTCACTGTGAACGCCTGAGTATCAATAGGAGCGACAAAACCTATTTCTTCTGTGCTAAACAATTGAACTAAATATTTCTTAGGGTTAAGTGCTCTCTCTCAGTCTTCAGGTCACTATTGCTTTGGCTGTTCTACCTCCGCCCACTGTTGAGACGGTTGTCGATGATGCAATTAGAGAGAAAGAATAGAGAAATCACTTGAGGATGAATTGAGTTCTAATCCATATGATATTCGAATATACTCAATCATAATCAATAAGCCCCTCAATATAAGAGGTTCTCTCGTTATATTGAAATATAAAAAAACTAAATATTCTAGCTATCATTTACAATTATCCATTAATGGTAACTTATTAAATACGGTAGCTTCCCTTAAATATGAGCTTTCCTTATATTCCACTGATAGAAATTTCCAATGCCTCCCAAATAAATGGTTATTTCTAGAATGAAAGAAGAGGAAATAAGAACTGTGGTTGTGTTAAAAGTTTACACAATTCTTTAACTTTAAATCTCATGAAAAATTAGCTCATATAAATGTGAAAAGAAAACAACTAAAATGCTAGAGGGAGTCCAGGACTGCGAGCTGCTAGGTATATTCTTTTTAAGTAACTCATAGAGTTGGCATTTAGTCACGAGAATATTGAAACAATTATGATGTGGAGTGTAATTGTAAAAAGAAGAAAAGAGGTACTACTACTAGAATCAGTACTTAGATAGCCTTCAATGATCCAATGCCTGTAAGGTAATTAGGAATGCTTCCAGTTATGTTACAGCTACTTAACGTCCTGCTAGCACGCAACATATGTATAAAATAATATGGTTCTAAAGGAAATTATCACAATCTTCTAAGTTCTTTATTGATTTAGTGACATTTACTCACAAATACGTAAGGTTTCTCATGTCTTTTAGCAGTGGGAACTCTGAAGCACCTCCATTCAAGTTACTAATAATTCTGTAGAGATATCACATTACATCAGTTGTCATCTTTACCATCAATGTATAGTAAATGAACATAATATTGTTATTGAAGTATTGACAAACTGAAATCTGACTGAATAGGTTTCAACTCACAGTTCCTTTAAATTTTTTAAGATGGAAATACTAGGAGGTATGGGTCCTTCAAAACCATTGCCTTTTATCTCTCTGTTGATAATAAATTAATAATGTCACGTAAACAAAAGTCGCAACTGTAAATACTGCAGTTTGGAAAATGCTCATTCAGGAAAGGACTTACAAGCTCGTAAGGTTTGTCCAGCTCCGAAAATTAGGTAATTTTCCAGTGAAGTTGTTACTGATTAGCCAACTGCATTGGCCCCGAAAGACATGTTATCATTAAAATAGCAGAAAACTTTTTGCACTTTTCTAGATTAAAAAACTTTATACTTTGAGAAATGTGTGGTGAAATACTTACAGAATTGTCAACATTTTTAGATTATTTAATTCAATCGGCAACTCACTAGTGAGATTGTTATCATATAGATAGCTACAGTGACCAAAGAGACAAGTTAAACTTACATAAATGGGTAAATTACAGCCACTGTCTCTAACCTTTTGTTGGAGTAATTTTCAAAAGAATGCCATTTAGACATTGGTAAATTAAATCAAGGAAATACAATTCAAAAAGTACTTGATCAAGATGGGACAAGAACGAGAGATGTAGGAATGGACAAAAACTTGAGCCAGTTTGCAAAGTAAACTAGTGTAGGTGGGCAACATGGAAGTGCTCCTGTGCTTCCTAGTTGGCGCAGGTGTGCTGCCATGTTGCCCACCTACACTAGTTTGCTTGGTTGGCGTAGATACGCTACCTGTGCTGGGTAGTCTTGAGATTAACCCAGTAGCTTTTAGAACTTACTTCTTAGAGAACGTAAGGAGCAAAAATGAATAGGAAAGTTTCTGTGTATTGAAGATAAAAGTCACGCTAATTGTACGTCATGTGGTTCTTAAATATGAATGGAAAAGACAGCACTAATTACAGTTGTTTACAGCTGCACACTAACTGAAAATTTCAACTAATCTGACTAATTCTTCAGCTCACTTCCACGTCAGCTTCTTCTGGTAATCTCAATAGCCCCCTTCAAGGTGGAGTGTATATGTTGCACATATTCATATTGCGCAGTAGAGAATGAAATAGAGATGCTCCCACTGGTTTTGTCATAATATCTGCTAGTTGATTACCTGAAGAGACATGCATGGTGTGTAAAATTCCAGCCTTAATCTTGTCCCTTACTAAGTGACAATCTAGTTCGATATGTTTTATTATCTCATGAAATATAGGGTTGACAGCAATGTGTAATGCAGCTTGATTATCACAATATAACAATGCAGACTTCTCATGTTTGATTCCCAAGTCAGCTAGTAGGTATAAAAGCCATTGAACTGTTAAATGTGGCATTAATTTGTAATCTTAGGAAATAAATAAGGTTACATGCACTTGAAGAAAATGTATCAGGAAAATACATGATGCACTTGAAGAAAATGTATCAGGAAAATACATGATGCAAATTCATGAATTATTAGGTGTCCATTTATATTCCCATGTCTCTAGAGTTATCCATGTGGTCCTATAAATAGAGGTCATTTTTGTAGTCTCATTGTAAGAAAAAAAAGAAGAAAACATTATTGAGTGTGCTGTAGCAACTCAAAAACTATCAATAAAAATTCAAGTTTTTCTTCAACACTTCGTTTCCGCACTAACAAATTTGGTATCAGAGCCATAACTTGTGATTGCATTTTTTCATGGCTTTCATACAAACAGTTTCGTTGTTTACATATTCTTCCAGTCAAGTCCCAATCTTCGAAGGCGAGCATTATGAATACTGGAGCATCCAAATGCAAACTTTCTTCATCTCCTTAGATCTTTGGGATGTCATTGACGATGAGGAATACGAAGAACCATCCGAAGACAATGAAGATTACGAAAAATTGCAAAAAGAATTTAAAAGAAAAGATGCAATGGCTCTCCGCTATATTCAACAAGGAGTCGGAAAATCAATTTTCCCTCGTATCTTTGGTGTTAAAAAAGCCAAAGATGCTTGGGAAATATTGATGCAAGAATTTCAAGGAGCGGAGAAAACGATCGCCTTGAAACTTCAATCCTTATGGAGAGACTTTGATAATCTCCAAATGGAAGAACGAGAATCGGTTCGTGTTTTTTCTTCACGAGTAGCCGAGACAGTAAATCAAATCAAAAGCTGTGGTGACACAATTACAGATAAAAGAGTCGTGGAGAAAATGTTAAGATGCCTTCCTCCAAAGTTTGACCATGTTGCAGCCGCAATTGAAGAATTGAAAGACTTGTCCAAAATGACCATTTATGAGTTAACCGGGTCATTTCTTGCCCATGAGCAAAGGATCAATCGTTCGAGTAACCAATCCACTACCGAACAAGCTTTCCAAATCAAAGCAAACATCAAAAGGAGGATCGAACAACTATGGAGAACACAACAGAGGCTCAAATCAAACAAAACAAAAAGATAGCCATTGGAAGAAGGGTGACAAACAAAGCAAATGGAAAGGCAAGCAAACACAAATTTCTGGTGGTAACAATCCAACTTGCATAATTTGCAAAAAAATGAATCATGAATCAAAGGAGTGCTACTTTAGATGCAAAAGGTGCAAGATCCCCAATCATTCTCAAAGGGATTGTTGGTTTCAAAATAAAGAGATGACAGAAAGAAAAAGTGCAGCAAACTTTTCTCAAGAGAATGAAAAGGAAATTCTGTTTTATTCTCAAAATTATGAAAATGGAGCTCAAAGCCCTTGGTATTTGGATAGCGGTTGTAGCAATCACATGACGGGGAATCGCGACATCTTTGTGGACCTTAATCCAAATATTACTTCACAAGTAATTCTTGGCGATGGAACATGTAGAGATGCGGTAGGAAAAGGCACCATTGCTGTCCAAATTAAAGAAGTTTTTGACAAAAAGAAAAATATTTGTGTGGCAAATATTGAAATGAAGAACAAGATATTTCCTCTTATGATGCCACTAAATGAGAATTGTGCACTCAAGGCAAGAGACGAAGATTTGGCGTATTTGTGGCATTTACGATATGGTCATCTTCATGAAAGAGGCCTTCGTTTACTCCAAATGAAAAACATGGTGACGGGACTTCCTAACATCCAACACATAGACAAAATGTGCGAAGGATGCATCTATGGGAAATTGCACAAGTTGTCGTTTCCAAAAACTTCATGGAGAACGAAAGCACTACTTGAGCTTGTGCACTCGGATATTTGTGGGCCAATGCAAACTTCCACTTTTGGAAACAAGAGATATTTTATTCTCTTTGTTGATGACTTCACAAGAATGATATGGGTTTTCTTCCTCAGTCAAAAATCTGAGGCATATTCCACATTTCTTCAATTCAAAGCTCAAGCAGAAAGGCAAAGTGGTTTTTTGATAAAAACTTTAAGGACCGATCGTAGAGGTGAATATCTCTATAATTCTTTCATGGAATATTGCAGAAAAAATGGCATCAAAAGACAATTAACTGTGAGTCGAACTCCGCAACAAAACGGCGTGGCCGAAAGAAAAAATCGTACAATTGTTGAAATGGCAAGAAGCATGCTAAAGGGCAAAGGACTTCCAAATCTGTATTGGGCAGAAGCTGTAAATACGGCAGTATACATTCTCAATCGGTCTCCAACAAAGGCTGTACGGAATAAAACTCCATACGAAGCTTGGAACAAAAAGAAGCCAATGGTTGATCACTTCAAAATATTTGGCAGCATTGCTTATGCTCTTATCCCTTCTCAAAATCGGGAGAAATTTGACGAGAAAGGACAAAAACTTGTCTTTGTTGGATATAGTGATGAATCTAAAGGATATCGGTTATTAGATCCAACTACAAACAAAATTACAGTTTCACGAGACGTTGTTTTTTATGAAGCTGCATCTTGGGATTGGAAAGGGAAAGAAGTTGTGGACCAGACACCATACCATTTTGTTGATCCATTAACATTTCAAGCAGGTCCGTCACAAGTTGGAAATTTAGAGCATAATCCAAACCCTACTCCAAGAAGTGAGGAAGAATCTGATCCAGAAAGCCCTCCAAGAAAGACACGTTCACTACAAGACATATATGAGTCATGTGAACTTGGGTTGTTCTCTAGTGAACCACAATCATTTGAAGAAGCCTCAAAAGAAGTATGTTGGACAAAAGCCATGAATGAAGAAATGTCCACAATCGAGAAAAACAAAACTTGGAAGCTTGTTGCCTTGCCAGAAGGGAAGAAAATCATTGGACTCAAGTGGGTCTATAAAATAAAATACAATGAAGATGGGTCGATCCAAAAGCACAAAGCACGTCTTGTTGCAAAAGGGTATTCTCAACAGCCCGAAATTGATTACACTGAAACATATGCTCCGGTTGCAATAATGGAGACGATTCGTACTGTTTTGGCACTGGCAGCTCAATTGGAGGTATGTGTTTATCAACTTGATGTAAAATCGGCATTCTTAAATGGTGAAATTCAAGAAGAAGTTTATGTCGAGCAACCTGAAGGATTTGAAATCAAAGGACAAGAAGGAAAAGTCTATCGTTTATACAAGGCACTTTATGGTTTAAAGCAAGCGCCGCGAGCATGGAATAGCAAAATCAATAGCTATTTCATCCAAAATGGATTCAATCGAAGCACGAGTAAATCATCTCTATATGTCAATAGTCTTGGAAGAGACTTTCTTGTAGTATGTCTTTATGTGGATGATCTTCTATACTTTGGTACAAGTAAAAGCATGGTGGAAGAATTCAAGAAAAAGATGATGAGAGACTTTGAGATGAGTGACTTGGGTCAAATGAAATACTTTCTTGGCATCCAAGTCAAACAAAGCCCGGGAAGAATTTTTTTATCTCAAGAGAAGTATATTGATGATCTTCTAGAAAAATTCAGCATGAACCAATGCAAGCTAGTCTCTACTCCAATGGGGCCGAATGAAAAATTCCAAGTCAATGATGATGCTGAAAAAGTAGATGCTACACTCTACCGAAAGTTAATTGGTTCACTCATCTACCTCAACACAAGGCCGGATATCACTCAATCAGTGAGTTTACTTTCCAGGTTCATGAATGAACCAAGCAAGAATCACTTTACGGCTGCAAAAAGAATTTTGAGATACCTTAAAGGTACAAAAAATCAAGGCATTGAGTTCAAAAAGGAAAATAACTTCAACCTTGTTGGCTACACTGACAGTGATTGGGCAGGCTCACTTGTTGACCGCAAAAGTACATCGGGCTACATCTTTTGTCTTGGAACAAATATTATTTCATGGAGTTCGAGAAAGCAAAGGTCTATAGCACTATCTTCTGCAGAAGCGGAATACATTGCAGCTGCGGATGCCGTTTGTGAAGTAGTTTGGCTTAGAAGAATTCTAAACGACTTGATGTTTGAACAACAAGAGCCAACAACAATACATTGCGACAATATGTCAGCAATTGCTATGACAAAAAATCCAATTTTTCATGCCAGATCGAAGCATATTGAACTACGTCATCACTTCATTCGAGATTTGGTAAGTCGAGAAGAAATTTGCATGGAATTTATCAACACAAATGATCAGCCAGCAGACATTTTAACAAAGGCAGTCACATTTGACAAGTTCGACAAGATCAAGGAAAAACTCAAGATTACAAATTAAGAGGGGGTGTTAAATGTGGCATTAATTTGTAATCTTAGGAAATAAATAAGGTTACATGCACTTGAAGAAAATGTATCAGGAAAATACATGATGCACTTGAAGAAAATGTATCAGGAAAATACATGATGCAAATTCATGAATTATTAGGTGTCCATTTATATTCCCATGTCTCTAGAGTTATCCATGTGGTCCTATAAATAGAGGTCATTTTTGTAGTCTCATTGTAAGAAAAAAAGAAGAAGAAAACATTATTGAGTGTGCTGTAGCAACTCAAAAACTATCAATAAAAATTCAAGTTTTTCTTCAACACTTCGTTTCCGCACTAACATGAACTTCGCATGTAGCAAATGCCATAGCACGGTATTCAGCTTCTGCTGAAGATTTGGAAACTGTTCTTTGCTTCTTAGACTTCTAGGATATTAAAGCATTTCCTGAAAAAGAACAATATCTAGTTATAGACCTCCTTAAATCAGGGCAACTTGCCAATCTGAATATGAAAAGATCTTCAATCGTAAGTCATTTTCTTTAGGGAAGAAAATCCTCTGTCCTGGCATGCTCTTGATATATCTCAATACCCTATAAGCTGCATTCAAATGAGGTTCCCTTGGTTGGTTTATAAACTGACTTAACACTTGAACCACATAACTCAAATCAGGCCTAGTAATGGTTAAGTATAATAATCGTCCCACCAGCCTCCTGTAGATTGATGCATCATTCAATAATTCTCCACTCTCTTTGTCCAGTTTAATGTTCAGCTCCGTTGGTGTGTTTGCTGGTTTAGCACTACTGAAGCCAGCATCTTCTAAAATGTCTATGGCAAATATTTTTTGACACAAAGAAATTCCTTTCTTAGACCGAGTCACCTCCAGTCCTAGGATATATTTCAATACTCCTAAATCCTTTATCTTGAATTTCATATCAAGAGAAGCCTTCAAATCATTCATGCCTTGCAAATCATTTCCTGTCAAGACAATGTCATCCACATATACTAGAAGAGCAACAAAAGAGCCATTTCTATTTCTGGTAAAGAATGGAAAATCTGAGAACTTAGTGAACCATTGCCTTAAGGCTTTTTTTAAGCCGTATAAAGACTTGTTGAGCCAGCATACCATATTGTGCCCTTTGCCGAATTTTCATGTATATTTTCTCATTTAAATCACTGTGTAAAAAAACATTGTTGACATCCAATTGTAAGATATTCCAAACCATAGCAGCAGCTATAGCCAATAAAACTCTCACAGATGTAAGCTTCGCCATAAGAGAAAAAGTTTCGAGATAATCAAAACCTTCCTTTTGAGTATAGCCTTTAGCCACTAATCTGGCTTTATACCTTTCCAGGGACCCATCAGCTTTCAATTTTACTTTGAATACCCATTTACAGTCAATAGGAATTTTTCCATGAGGTAAACTAGTGATCGTCCATTTGTGTTTATCCTCAAGTGCCTTAATTTCCTTAGTTATTGCTTCACACCAGTTAGGGTCCTTGACAGCTTGATCAAAAGACCGAGGCTCAGTCATATTTGTGATAGTAAAAACATATGCTCGATGGGAAGATGAGAGCCTATCATAAGCAAGATAATTTTGGATATCACAGCTGGAGCTTAAGCTTGAAAGGACTTTACTTATGGACTGATCAGATCTGGTAAGAGAGTTTTGAGCCAAATGACAATGATATTGCTGAAGATAAGAAGGGGTTTTTTAATTCTTGTGGATCTTCTCAGAGGAGGATTTATGTTCTATGTAGTTGTATGATTTTTTGGTGGATAGAGATGGCAATTTAAACCATTAAAATTGAAAATTGCGGTTAACTGAACTGAATGAGGCGAAAAAACCGAACCGATGGTGTAATAGGACGGATGTGGTATTTGATCTTAATGAATTGGTTCGTGGCAGTGCAGGTATGGTATTTATGCAGTGGAACTGATTACCCACTTAAAAAATCATTCTTTTATTAGGGATGACAAGGTTTAGTGAGGAGGAAGTTGACGAAGATGTACATTTTTTTATTTAAATCTTAGTTAAATCCATTCTGGATTAGGTAGTATCGTTGTATTCTCTACTTACATTTCTTATTCACTATATAGGAATCAATTTTGAGTGCTGACCTATACTAATAAAAGTTGTGGGAAAGAATGAAGATTGAATATGATTTAAGGTTGAAGCTTTTGAATTATTGAGCATGAATCAAATAACTACAATGCACAAGAATTAAGAATGAATGAAAAGTTTAGTATTGTTATATTCATAATATTGTTTGTTAAATTTTTATTTTGCAATTAGAATTTGGGATAATGTTTGCATTTTTGTTTGGAATATTGTGTTTTTATTTTCATTGGCTCTCTTTTCATAAATTGTTTTATATCAATTTGACGGATGAACCTATATAAAATAATTTATTTTCGAGGTTATTAATCTAACTGAACCGATTTACATGGTTATGGTACGGTTATGGTAAGGCAAAAAATTTGACGGTTCAGTGATGGTTTTGGCTGAACCAAATCAAAACCTAACCGTTGCCGTCCTTACTGGTAGAAGGATAGTGGTATTTTGGAGATCTGGTGATTGGTGATCTGGTAAAGTACATGGTGAAATAGTTTCAGCTATAGAAGACACATGGGAAGGAAATATGGGAAATGAAGACTCTGGAATTGGATTGGGTAAAACAAATGGACATCCCTACTGGTCGAAGGATAGTGGTATTTTGGAAATCTGGTGATTGGTGATCTGGTAAAGTACATGGTGAAACATTTTCAGCTATAGGAGACACATGGGAAGGAAATATGGGAAAGGAAGACTCTGGAATTGGATTGGGTAAAACAAATGGATTATTATGATTTAAAGGAAATTGTTTGTATGGAAAGATGTTTTCATAGAATATGACATTTCTTGAAATGAATATAGCCTTTGATAGAATATGGATAGCCAAGAAAGATACATTTAGTTGCTCTAGAATCAAATTTTGATCGATTTTTAGTGAGCGTGTAAGCAAAATATAAGCAATTAAAAATCCTGAAATGAGTATAGTCTAGTTTTTGGGAGAAAAGAACTTCAAAGGGAGATTTTCCATGAAGTAAGGGAGTGGGAAGTTTGTTAAAAAGGTTGAATTCCAACCTTAAGGCCCCCACCGCCCCACCCCTGGAGTATCGTGAGGGAGGTAAATCGTTGAATATGCCTCAGTAGGCCAGGGAACAAGAGCTTGCTGTACACTGGTGCCTACAAAGAGTCCAATTCCATATCTCAGGAATTGAAGCCTCACACTGCAGCTGCCAGCAAGGCTAAGACTACCTCACTCCTGTCCTTTGCACCACTGGGATATGCCATGGGGGCAAGGGAGTGGAAAGTCTGTTGATTATGTAAGTGGCAGTTTGTATACATTCATCCCAGAAACTAAGGGGTAAATTAGATTGAAAACAAATGACTCTAGCAACATTTAATAGATGTTGGTGCTTTCTTTCGACTACTCTATTTTGTTAAGGTGACTCAACACAAGTCTTTTGATGTATAACACCCTTAGACGTAAAAAAATCTCTAAGGTGAAATTTTGGACCATTATACGAATGAATGCACTTTATCTTGAGATTAAATTGTGTCTCAATTAAAGTGAAGAAAGTTGGAACGACAGATTGCGTTTGATTTTTAGAATTTAGTAATCAAGTCCATGTACATCGAGTAAAGTCATCGACAAGAGTTAGAAAGTATTTTGAACCATCAATAGCAGTAGTAGATAAAGGACCCCATAGATCAGCATGTATTAGATCAAATGGGGTTGAACTATTTATTTCACTGGAAACATAGGGTAATCTGTGTAATTTAGCAGTAGGGCAAACATCACACTGATGTATAGTATTTACATTCAAATCTAAAATGGTAGATTGCAACATTGTAGGCGCTGCAAAGATGGATGCCCTAACCTAAGATGCCACAAATTAGAAACTGTGGATGTTATAGAATTGGCAAAGTGTTTGTGTTGTGTAGGAGTGATGTTCAGCATATAGAACAGGCCGTTTCTCTCTTTAGCCAGACCAATCATCTTCTATAAACGTAGGTCCTGTATAAAGCACACACCAGACAATAAGATGAGATTACATCTAACTATTTTAAGCAACTGATTGAAATTAGATTGAATGCAAAAGACGGCACGCATAGAACATTCTTCAAAATGATAAGAGTCTGAAAGTCTAATTGATCCAACATGTGTAACCTCTGTTAAAGTACCATTTGGAAGCTTAACAAACCGAGATGCTGAAGCTGTGATTTCAGTGAGTGAATGGACTGAACACACCATGTGATCTGTAGCACCGGTGTCTAAAATCCATTTATAATTCATATTCAAAGTTTCAGGACTTTCAAATGACTTAGATATTGACTTACACGAAAAACATTGACTAAATACTGATGCATTGTGGAGGCAAATAACTTGATATACCTGCCAGATTTGCTAAGGCATGCTTCTGGGAACCAGAGATGCTTGCATTCTGAAGGTTAATAGTACGGGTACTTGTGAATGGCAAAGACGTTTCATCGATAGGTTAAATCAAAGCCAGCAGCTATTCATATTGATCTTTAGTGAAGGGGAATTTTGAAAGATCAGTGGTGATATTAGGAACAAATTCTACTTGATTTGTAACTCCATGGACCACAGGATTCTTGTTCTTGAACTTATATCTTGGTGGATATCCGTGTACTTTGTAGCATTTGTCAATTTTGTGGCCAAGAAGACCATGGTGGCTGCACTGACGACACTCCTTTTTATTGTTCGGTCCAGTGTAGTTGTTTATTCCCTCGTTAGTATATTGATTCCTATTGAAATTTTTAGCAACCATAGCTACGGAATCTAGATTATGTGTGATTCTAGCAGTTATTTCTCTTTGCTTTTCCTCTTGTGCAACTAGAGAGAAAACTTTGTTAATTGCTGGTAATGGATCAATCAATAGTATTTGACCTCGAGTCTGAGAGTAACTCTCATTCAGCCCCATCAGAAATTACATGATATAATCCTCCTGCTGAAACTTCATCAAGGAGGCTGGAACACGTCTATAACGTCCAAGTTCATCCCAAAAACGTCTTCAGTTTGGTGAATTAGGCACTTACTGAACACTGATTTTGTGTTAAAGAGGCGATCCCCTTCCTCAGTTGAAAGATACGAGGTCCATTTGTTTTTGAAAACCTCTTTAAGTTATGGCAAAAAAAACTTCACTTCCTTCTCACAATCCTCAACATGGTGTAATAGCTTACAACTCCAAAGCCAGAAGAGACAAAAAATGAACCATTGGAGATACAAGACCTAGACAAAAATGAGATCAAGATGATTACATATGCGAGGGTCACATTTAACATGCAATGTCTCATAATTCTCTTTTTGATCAGTACCACAAGAAGAAAATCGCCAAGGAAATATGGGAAGCATTGGAAGCCAAATGCATGTTGGAGGATATTACAAGTAAGAAATTAATTGTATCTAATTCTTTCAATATCGAATGGTGGACAACGTGAAGATAATTGAGCAATTTCATAAAACCACTCATATACATAACCAATTTCTTCAATACCACATCAATATGGATGTGTCCATTGACAAACTACCTGCATCTTGGAAAGATTATAATAGAAGTCTAAAACACCATAAATAAGATATCCCTATTGAAGTATTGGGTCGTAATCTCTGAATGGAGAAAGAGTTCAAAATGATTAATTTTTTAGGAGCATAGTGTCCAATCTTCTAAAGTTCATGTGGTTCAGGATAAGGAAGGATCGATGAAAAGAAGATGATGCAAATTAACAAAACAACAAAAACAACATGAAGAGGAAGCACGATTCAAAAGACGAGGGTTCCAAGAAACAGAGTAGGTCTTGTTACAATTGTAGCAAAATGTGAAAGTGTCGCCATTTGAAGAAGCAAGATGACATGGATAACTTTGTAATTTGAATTTGTTTTAAGTATGCTTTCAAGTTTGTTTTGAGATTTTTGAATATGTATTGCCAAAGAGTGGTATTTTTTGGAAAAATATTTTTGTTTGTGTGCGTGTTTATAATTAAATAAATTATTGTTATAGGTTGATTTATTATTTGATTTCATATTTGCTTACGAGATGCTTGAAGATTACTTTGATATAAATACGTTAGAATAAGTAACTTGCTATTATATTGAGCTAGTATCATACGTATTTTCTAATTTATTATTATTATTTTTTTTAATGACAGGGGAACCCGTAGTCGCAAAGCACGCCAGCCTGGTAAACCACACTAGACAAGCCCTGTGCGATAGTCTCGATCGAGAAAGTATTAGTAGAGAGAATCGAACTCGTGACTAAAGACCACCGCACTCACTTACTCCACTACTCTGCCACCCAATGAGGGGCATGTATTTTCTAATTATTATCATGAATGTTTGCTATAGTTAATAAGGAAATTTAAAGATATTTTTTGTCAAGTTACTTGTAATAATATATATATATATACAAATTTTGAAATAAGCTTCTATACTTTTAAACATGAAATTAGTTTTGTGCTTAACTAGTATACCATATAATCTTCATATGATATAACATCGAATTGTTTAACATAAGTGTCAGTATATATCTTCCCCAAAGGCTTCGGTTTTGGAAAAGGAACTAGCAAAATAAATCCATTGGTTTGGGACCTAGTTGATCTTCAACGAAATGTAAAACTCGAGTCCAATAAAGTAAAGGAAATTAAATGGATTGATTAATTCAAAGGTGTTGCAAATCTCTATTCTTCCATTAAAAGAATAAAATATTGATTTGTCAATTAAGTGATTAAATGTCCTTATTATAATTGACAAAGTAGATATGACTTAACTAAATGATCTTGGTTTAAGTAATTGATTATACAAGATCAATGGATTGAATTAGTCTATGACTATGGCATGTTAAAATTTACATAAGGCCTTGACTCGTTAAATGTCACGGGATTGAGACGGGAAATACAACTAATCACCAATGATGAAAAGTCGATCTAACACTTGAAACATCAAGTTCTTAGGTTCAAAGAGTAAAGTATTTCAAATAGGTGATCATAGGAAATATTCATTTTTTCCCATGTAAGTGTGCTTAGTACACTTAACAATAAGGGAAAAGATCAGTTATTGAGCTTTTAATAGATTTAAAAAAAGGTTGAACTCCAACCTTGAGGACCCCTACCGTCCCGTCCATGGAGCATCGTGAGGGAGGAAAATCGCAGGATATGCCCTAGCAGGCCAGAGAACAAGAGATTATCCATATACTGGTGCCTACAAAAAGTCTAATTTCATATCTCAGGAATCGAACCCTCACACTGCGGCTGCCAGCAAGGCTGAGACTACCTCACTTCTGTACTTTGCACTACTGGATTATGCCCCCGAAGGGCACTTTTAATAGATTTATATAGAATACTCTAGTTACGTTAGTATTATTGATAAGTGTCAGAATTTGGGTGTGATCCAATTTTTTTTTTTTCAAAGATAATTGTGAGTTCTAATTAAAGTGCACATTAAGAATAATCCTTTTTGGAATGCTATTATGCAATTCTATTCAAGTTTACTTGACGAATTCTAGTTGAAGTTTTACTTAGAAGTCCAATTGGGAGTTTAAATTTGTATTGGACTTAAATGGGATATTGGGATGAAGAAAATCAAGTTTTTGAAGTAAAGGACTGGAGAATGGGCATCACAATGCCAAGAAGTTTTTGGTTCGGCGTCGAGGTGCACATTGTCTGTTTCTCCCTAAGCGATTTTTTCCTACTCTACTCCATTTTGGACTCTCTCTTTTTTGCATTCAACTTCAACTACAACTCTACTATTAGGGTGTGGACATTCACTACTAGTTAAATATATAGTTGGCTCTTCATTATGACTTAGAAGAAGTTATAAACATCGTAAACACAAATTTTTGTATTCTTTCTCCATATTTCCATTCTTTGCAAATTATCTTGTTTTTGCGTTATATTAATCAATTATTTCATATTATGGCTATAATATCTTATTTTTCTCCAACAATTTGGTATAAAATTAATCCGAATTATTTTCATTTCACAATAAACGGGTATCAGAGTGTTTGGTGTTTAAATTCTTGGGAATATTGAGGTTTTGATCAAGTTAATAGCTCAACTTGATCTTTCATCATGGAAACAATGAAGTATGATATTCTGCTATTAAATCGCAATACAAGATTATCTTTATGACAAATAAAGATGGGAGCAGTAATCGATCAGATGGATTCGGATGACGAAAGTTATTAGAATTTGACAAGATGCCTACAACTTGAACTCCAGAGGAGAAACATCAGATGGACCGAAAGATCCTATCTTATATACAACTTCATCTTTCAAATATTATTCTTTGGGATGTTTTGAAGGAGAAGTTAGCTACTGCATTATTGTTAAAATCAGAACAATTATGCATGACGAAAAGTCCTATTAGCAAATTGCATTTGAAGCAACATATATATTCTCATCATATGACAGAAGGTATATTTATTGAGGATCACCTAGCTATTTTTAAGGAAATTATCGCTAATTTGGAGACCTTGGAAGTCAAATATAATGAAGAAAATTTGTGATTGATTTTATTGTGTTCATTGTCCACTTCATACATGTCTTTTAGAGACACAATTTTATATAATTGTGATATTCTGACCATCAAAGAACTCTATGATGTTCTATATTCAGAGGAGAAGATGAAGTATCTTGTTGCATTTGAGAGTCTTTGAGATGGCTTCATTGTTGATGGTGGTCATTCAAAGGATAAGTCAAAAATCTAACTTCAAATTTTATAATTATTACAAAAAAGGGGGGCACTAGATAAATGATTGTTACAAGTTGTAGAATAAATCAAAATTGACTGCAAATAAACAATCAGAAATTTTAGGAAAAACAAGTATTGCAAAAAAAATCCTAACAATGATGGAGAGCTTTTACTTATGTCCAACTATAACTCCAAATTTGACAAGGCTTGGATTTTTTATGCTGCTTGCACTTTTTATATGACTCCTAATCGAGATTTATTCTCAACATATGAAGAAGTTTTAAAAGGTATTGTAATGATAGGTAATAATACACATTGTCAAATAGCTTGTATTTGTCGAATTAAAATAAAGATGTTTGATGGGAAGGTTAGAACACTTAATGCAGTGAGGTGCGTTCCAGATTCGAAGAAAAATCTTATCTCTTCAAGTACTTTTGATTCAAAAGAGTACAATTATATTGTTAAAGGTGGAGTCCTGAAAGTTAGTAAATCAGCATGTGTTTTGTTAAAGGGATATAGAAAATTCCATTTATATATCTTGCAGTGTTATAAAGAATTTTTGAGCAATCAGCATATTTTAAGAACTCAAGTGGATTTGGAGTTGGATTCTATATTGTTGGAGCCTAATTTTAGGGATTTTTATTTTTATTTATTTATTTTTTTTTTTGTAAAAAAGAATACATCTCAGTAAATTTAGAAGTTATAGGTAAATCCGGCTTACCACCATCATCGATGGTGTCATTGTATTTAGTTGCTTGTAATAAACCTATTTTTGGCCATAATATTTCACATAGATACAATTATGCTGATTTAGTTGATAGTTTGAATGTGATTAAAGGTGTTGATTCTAGCCAAGATCCTTCTTTTAATGTATTCAGTTGTAATTCTATTATAGGGCTTGTTTCAACTTTGTTTGGTGGTCATTAGATCACTTTTTCCTTTAATTGAGGTAGTAGAGGTGGAGAATGTTTCGGTTGAATTTTTTTATGGATAAGTTCGTTTGTGTCCTTTAGTGAAGATTTCAAGTTTTTTTTCCATGTAGTGGAATTTGTCTTCAAGTGGAGAATTTTTTCTTTTGAAGTTTTATTCATTTTAGTGGAATTCGTGTCAAGGTAGAGATTGTTAGAATTTGGTTGTGACCTGAATTCTTTGTTGAAGATAATTGAAAGTTATAATTAAAGTGCACATTAGGAAAAATTCTATTTGGACTGTTATTGTGGAATTCTATTCAAGTTT